CCAGGTGGGTCACACTCCTTAGTACCCAACTGGAACCACAGCAGACTTTCTCCAAGGGAGGCTCATACGAGTCTACTCATGGGGCACCGTTTCCTTTTTCACAGATGTTTCTTTTTTAAAAGCTCTCTCCTGGGGATAAACATTGCAGACTGTGAGTGGGAGAAGTGGGGGCAGTTCCTGGGTGGGGGAGTCATTTTTCCATTGGAGGCTGAAGCCACTGACTTAGAGGATCCCTGAGGTCAATTTCCAGTGGTAGTCATTCCTAACTCAGATTTTTGCCTGATTATTGGGTTCATTAGTCATCCGATGGCTAGATAAGGAAGAAACAAATTCACAATTTACTATCTCTTGACAGTATTTTACTGCCTCAGGCGGTTGAACGGTGTACTTTTAGTCTTGGCCAGCCCCTGACAGGATCAGGCAAGGGAGCCTCTGTAGAAATTCTTCCCCCTCCCTAAGTCGCCTGGCATTGATTCAGCATAGTCCAGAGTCTTCTCATGGATTGGGGACCCACAAAAAGAAGGAACCAGAGAACGATTCAAGTCAGTGTAGAATTCCAGAGGCTTATGCCCGCTTAAATTTAAATCTAGAGAGAAGAGGTAGAGGAAGGGAAGAAATCTTAACGTTTTATTCATTGGTAATGGTTCGGAGACCCAAGAATCATTCACGTCACTGCTGGATGTTGGGTTTTTCCCAGGATTCAGTGGAAGACAGTCTGCTTTCAGGCTGTTGTCAGTTTGACAAACAAGCACAACACTCGAACACTGCTCTTTTGTTGCGGCCTTCCCTGTTGCTTCATTCTTTTTTTTTTTTTTTTTTTAGATTTTATTTATTTGACAGAGAGAGACAGCGAGAGAGGGAACACAAGCAGGGGGAGCGGGAGAGGGAGAAGCAGGCTTCCCGCCGAGCAGGGAGCCCGATGCGGGGCTCGATCCCAGGACCCTGGGATCATGACCTGGGCCGAAGGCAGCCGCTTAACCAACTGAGCCACCCAGGCGCCCCTAAGCTTTATTTTTTGTTGGGGAGAAAGACAGAAGAATCTCAGGAGTGCTGACTTTTTTTTTTTTTTTAAGTCCTGGCCTTTTCATTTCAATTGCCATCTCAGAGCCTAAAACTCATTTGAAAGCCCTGTGGCAAATTCGTAAGTGGCAGGTCATGGTAAGATGCCCCTCAGGATGTTTCTACTTCGTTGGATACTGATTTTACACTTCTGGTTTGGAAATTAAAGCCAGGAATGAAGGCCTAGACATTTTTGGTTTGGGGTGCTTGGCGGTAGAGAGACGTCACCAAGTGATTTCTCCGATACGTTTGTCCATTCATGCCACAGACACGTCATAATTTCCCTGTACGCCTGTCTCCTTTTTGTCCCCCAACTACGAACAAGGCGATTTGTTCCTGGACTAGGCCTCTTAACCAGCCCCTCGAGTATCTGTATCCTCCTTCCATCCTGCTAGATGAATAGGCAGCTCCAGGCCTGCCTCATTCGGAGACCTCCACCCTGTGCAGCTGAGTCATCCCTTTAGCAAGATTCTTTGCTTTATTTATTCTCCCTGCCCTCAGATGTTTTTTAAGAGCCCTTTCCTTCTTCTGAAGACCCGTCTTCCTGTCTCACTGCTTGACTCTGCCTATGTTCACACTTTGTTTAGGTGTGTGGTGGAAGCTTTAGAAATGTACACACCCACTGTGAAATACCAAAGGTTAAGAAACCCCACGATAAAGTGTGTCCGAGGAGACCTTTCCCCTCCACCTCTTTCTAGGCAGCCCATAGAGTGGGCTCTCTAAATCGCTAGGGGGAGGATGGTTTAGCTAGTCTGAAAACCCAGTTCCCTTGTATGAAGCCCTCGAGGGCAGAGCCCCGAGCAGGAGGGGAGAGTCTGCACTTTTGGGTCACATGTTGCTGCAGTTCTTCCCCGTGCGATTCGCAGGGCAACCCTGAATCCTCGGATGGATGAAGTCAAGGGAAGGAGGCTGTTTTCCAGCATGCCTTTCGAAGTCTGATCTCATCTGTCCTTTTCTTTCTAGGTACTGGGAAGTTCTGGTAAAACATACACATGCCTGGCTTCTTGTCATTACTGTTCCTGTCCTGCCTTTGCCTTCTCGGTGCTGCGGAAGAGTGACAGCCTCCTGGTGAGGACAAGGAAGGCTCTTCCCACTCTAGTCAGATTAGCACATTCTTGGCCCTGACCAGCATGGCGTAAGCGCTATACAAAACGGGAATTTTTACTATATGTCAAAACAAATAGTTTATTGTCCTTGATTGCAGTTAGTCATCTCTTTTGGGTTTACCCTCTCAAAATGCAGTGTCATTTTTAGATCTATATCCATTACCCGATTTTTTATTTATTTTTTATTTTCCTTAAAAGGTCACAGATGAAGCCTTGCAGAGGGCAACAAAATAATCTCAAAATTATTTTTTGAGTTGGCTCTGGGGAATTAGAGGGCCCGGTAAAAATATGAGCTAAACTGATTGTTGGCAACTTTGTGGATCCCCTACTCCAGCTGAGGTGTTTCTTCCCACTGCCCGTAAGACAACCTGGCAGTTAGCCCCTAGAATATGGGGCAGGAGAGCACATGGAGACTTTTGCCCATTTCACAGGCGCCCAGAGCATCAAGCAGGAGCAAGACATACTCACATAACTCCTTATTTCAGACAAGAAAGCACTACCCACCTGAGAGCAGGTAGCTATTTTATAAGACTTGCCAAGGAAAATTATAGAACCCGCTCCATTCTTCCCCTTTCTCTCACACGGTTACCTTGGTAAACATCCTTGGAACGGGGGTGGCTGGTTGGGTATCCCATTGTTAAAAGACCACCTTCACAGCCGACATGTCATAAGTGTGTTTCACCTGTCAAGCGACAGGATTAAACTTCGGGCCCCTTCAGTATCTAAAGCTGAGGGTGTTGGGACAGAGGGTCCGGCATGTCCCCAGGGGTGTGTACAGGCCTGTATGGGAGGGTTCTGCGACCCACCCGTGGGACAGCACGACGGTTAAGGGAGCAGCCCGCAGACTCAGCACGTGGGTAAAATGGGGACAGGACTTGTCCTCATGGGGTAGCCGACAGATTTCAGTGTGATCATCTGTGAGAAGCACTGAGCAACACGGTGGGTCAAGGAATGTCTGCCATCGCTGTGAGGAGTGTTCTGAAGGCTGGAGGAAAGCGAGAGAGCTGAAGGCGAAAATGAGGGGCCTGTCTTGGTTTGCACGGTGGGTCATAAACCCGGTGTCGGCTGGGTCTAAACGGCTTCCCAAAACAACAGGCAAAGTAAAACTTGCTTCATCCCCTCAGATTTCTAGAAAGAATATATCGTGTCATCTTCAACTGCGGTTTTTAGGCAGTGAGTCCGTAACATGTGTGCCCCACTCCTTTCCTAGTAAATGTAGCAAGAGGTCTTGGTCAGCTTCGGCCCTGCCCATCTCTAACGGGTTTGTGTTTTGTGTTCCAGTGCAAGCATCTCTTGGCGGTTTATCTTAGTCAGGTAACGAGAACCTGTCGGCAGCTAAAGGTCTCTGACAAGCAACTGACTGACATACTATTCGTGAAGAAGCAACAAGCAGCACAAAAGGTATAGACTGAGCATCGTTATCTTTCAAAATAGAAGTCCTACCCAGAAAAACACTTCACCTACTAAGATTCACCTGCAGGAGAGGTGAAATAGATCTTCTGGAGACTTCTCGTCAACTATCCCTTTTCCCTCCAGGACAAGAGACTGTGAGTTGCAAGCCAGGATGTGCATATACTTTGAAGGTCTACAATTTCTCCTGAAAAATCTGAGCCAGCCTCTGAGCCCCGTGGGTCAGTTTCCTGGATGAATCAAGCATTTGACCCAAACAAAGCCTAGTACTGTGTTCTGTCCACAGTTAGATTTTTTTTTTTTTAAGATTTTATTTATTTGAAAGAGAGAGCATGAGCAGGGTGGAGGGGCAGAAGGAGAAGCAGACTCCCCGCCGAGCAGGGAGCCCGACGTGGGACTTGACCCCAGGACGCCGGGATCACGACCTGAGCTGAAGGCAGACGCTTAACCCACTGAGCCACCCGGGTACCCAGTTAGTCAGATTCTTAAGTTACTGAAGTACTAGTAATTTTATTTAAGAGGTTGGAATGGTAGACGAAACTGGTCAGATGAAGTTTAGATGAGTAAGTGTGACTTCTCTCCTGGGATCCAGGAGTTTCCCCTGCAGCAACAGGAGCTCAGCGAGCGCAGAGATGTGGCCGAAGAGCAGCCAGCATAGAAAGACTTCGGGGTTCTTGCCTCAGTGAGCTGCAGCTGATCTGTGGAGCTGGTGCCAGGAAAGCTCACATAGGCTGCAGCGTTAGAAAGGTGGTGTCGAAAACAAGGAAAGAGCAGTGGTCTTGCCCTGCATGCGCTGCAGGGCTTTATAACAAGCCAAAGGAAGGAAAACCAGACCGCGTGCAGCCCCGGAGAACTTCTTAGTAAGTAAAGCTGTTCCCAGCCGGAGTAGGAGCCTGGAGGGCCGGGAATGCTCTGGTGCCATGGGGGCTCATAAATCTGCAGTGTCCTCGCGGGGATACTGCAGAAGGCAGTGCAGCAGCGAACAAACAGATGAAACAGATTTTACAGCCGGGCAACGCCCAGCCCCGGGCCCCTGGAAACCTGCGGCACAGTGTGTGGACACGGTTCAGGGCACAGGTGGCACCGTGGTCCCTGCTAGGCAGAGCCTTTTGTTGCCACAGATAAAACCTGTCAAGACCCGCCTCCTTGGGCGCCTGGGTGGCTCAGTTGGTTAAGCGACTGCCTTCGGCTCAGGTCATGATCCTGGAGTCCCGGGATCGAGTCCCGCATCGGGCTCCCTCCTCGGTGGGGAGTCTGCTTCTCCCTCTGACCCTCTTCCCTCTCGTGCTCTCTATCTCTCATTCTCTCTCTCTCAAATAAATAAATAAAATCTTTAAAAAAAAAAAAAACGACTCCTTGGGAAACTTGAGCTGGTTATAAACTTCTCTTTTTAAGCAATCTTCAGAATAAAGAACAGAATGTGGATGCAGCACCCTAAGCTTGTGAAGTTTTATTTTTATTTCACCTAATAGATGTACATGGTTGTTTGATTTTTACTTATTCAGATTTTCACACTTGGGCTCCAGCAGCATGGCCAGACTTCAGCTTGGTAGAGAACTACACTTGACTGCCTGGCTGTCGGAGGGGCAGATGCAGTCTGGGAGAGAGGGATTCCATCTCTCCACTTTGTTCCACTAGTACATGGAAAAGAATGTTACCAAAGAATGATATTCTACTTACAGACTTAACAAGAGTAGCATTTCCCCAAATAAATACAGCAGTTTGTTGACTGAAGAATTACACTTAATTTTCCTGGTCACCTTCCTAGGAACAAGTATCTATTTTTAGTACGCTCAACTTTTATTCTTTCACTGCCTCTAAGTTAAAAAACAAAACAAAACATTTGTATTATAATAGTTCACAGTGTTTCACAGTAAAATAGTTTCATTCTCTACCATGAAAGAGGCAGACTCTTAAAAAAACAAAAACAGTCTTTTACAATCCATTCAGGCCATCGGCATCATCCACACAGAGCAGCCAGAGAGAACCAGAAAGACATTTGTGAGCCTTTGGAGCCAACTGATAACATGTGCACATTAGCTGGGTATGGGGTCACTCGAGAGGCAGCCCGGGCGCTGACACGGTGTAGCTGTCTTTAACAACGGCAGTCAGCCAGTCCCGTCCCGTCCCTGTGCTGATTGTGAACGTGCGTCTTGGAAGAGGCCGGGCCCTCGGTCATAGGTCCACATCAAGGGCAGGCTGTGCCCCTGCCTGCCCATTCCCGCTCTTGAGGACATCTGTCTGGCAGAGGACATACCTGGAGATGATTTTGTGAAAAGTATAGCGGAAGTCTCGGTTCCGATAGGCATAGACAACAGGATTGACCACCGAGTTGGCATGTGACAGGAGAATGGCCGTGTTCATTGCCCACTTGGGCTTATTCTTTGCCCGGGCTGGCTGAAAGAGACTGACACAGTTGATGGCATGTACTGGCAGCCAGCAGAGAGCAAAAATGCCAACGATCATGGCCAGGGACTTGGCGGCATGGATCTCCCGCTGGATGATGGTCCTGGAGTGGTCCATCAGCTCCATGTGCTGAAGCTGCCTGCAGGCCACCATGAAGATCTTGATGTAGATCACCAGCATGATGATCAGCGGGGGCAGGACGCACCCAAAGAAGTTGAAATATACCATGTAGCTCATGGGGACCACATTCTCAAACAGACACTTCACGAGGCAACAGCTTTTGTTGGTGGCTCCATCCCAGGGTTCCGTGCAGTTGGTGGCACTGTCCTTACTGTTCCACCCCAGAAACGGGGTCAGTCCGATGCCAAAGGCGAGGACCCAGAGGACAGCAATGACTCCTCTTGCTCGAGTCCCAGTGACCAAACTCTTATACCTGTCCAAAAAAACAGCATCTGTTATTGTCAGCGCGCAGAACTCTGTCACCGGAGTGCGAGACCCCGCCTCTGCTTTGGTTCCGTGGCCTTTACCCCAACAATCTTTAGGGTTCACCCTCAGGGGGCACCGTGGCCTTTTACCCTCAACGTGAAGACACGCAAATAGGTGGGAACACCTTTGCTCCAACAAGCTCACTAAGAGTTTCATTCTTGACTTACTAGCTCAGCTCTGTTGAGTGACAAATCATGGTCAGTGAGAACAAGGGGAGAAGTGCTTTCTAATTATCCACATCCCGGTCTGGGAGTCTAGGTCTTCTGTAAGGCACTGTTCTAGGTGGTGCGCCGCACCAATGAACAGAACACCCAAGACCCCTGCTTTGAAAGAACTTACGCTGTAGTAGGGGGAGACTGATGATCCTAAACAACAAACATGTTAGTAAATTCTGTGGTGTGTTAACAGGAGAGGTGTAGTATGAAAAAAGAAAATGCAGACTAAGGAAGATCAGGACTGGCAGGGACTGGAGTTTTCAAGAGGTCAAAGGCGTTTTCACTGATTCGGTGAGACTTGAACAAAAGCCTGAGGAAGTGCGGCTCGCAGCCCCCAGGACCCCAGCGGCACTCCCTGGCGGCCCTGGGCAAGACTCCTCCTAGCCTCCCACAAATAGACGAGAGGTCTGTCTCGGACCGTAAGAACAGCCCCCTCTGGAAACTGTTGGAGAACAAGACTTCTGGCAACCTCCCTCTCTCTGCTAGCAGCAAAGCTGATAAAAACGGGGAAATACTGTAGCAAATATTAAATAACTCGAGTAGTTCTAAAACTTGAAATCTTGTTTAAAACTGCTAGAAATCATAACGCACAATTTAGACATTTTGCCATAAACGAGCCCATATGTGGTTTACGTAGCAAAGCTATCAGGCTTGCTATTCAGTCGGTCCATAATATGTATTCAATGTCAGGGATTGAGTCAATGAGAAAAAAAATCTTTCCTTAACCTCTGGGAAGAAAATTGGGAAATAACTGGATACACGTTACCTTAAGACCTGTCTCTGGAAAGTGTCCAGTTTCCCCAGCCGGCAGTAGAAAGCCTGTACTCAGCACGGCCCACAGCACCCTGCAGGCCGCCCCCCGCCCCCCGCCCGCCACCTCATGCTGCTTTCGACCTGCGATAATAAAACACCTGTTCCTGTTTCAAGGGTCACCTCCGTTCCCGATCACCTCTCAGGCTGAGGTGGCCACTCCCACTCTCTGGCCCCAGACACACCTGGCATAGAGCTGATTTATCTATTACGTGTGTTTTCCCCTCAGCTAGAATGTCAACCTCTTAAGGACTGGCACCTTGTCCCTTTTGTACTGGTGTCCCAGGGCCCGGCACATATATAGTAGGTTCTTAATGATATGGCCATTATGAATGCATTCCTTATTTGTTACCTGATTTGTTATCAAACGGCTTTAAAAGAAGATTCTACTTAGGAATACCTAATGCTACGGGCCTGGACAGGCAGGGGAGCCGGTACGGTTTGCTGAGAAAGTTAACAGAGATCTTGCCTTGTAAGTGACAGTGATCCCTCATCTTTTCTCCTCCCTCTGAGGGCCACTCTCTGCAATGGGCAGCGCGATCGTGGGGCCTTTACTACAAATGACCTGCTGGGCTCTGTTGCTCACTGAATTTTCCTTGGCCAATAAATCCATCTATTTCTAGGGGCGCCTGGGTGGCTCGGTTGGTTAAGCGACTGCCTTCAGTCATGATCCTGGAGTCCCGGGATCGAGTCCCGCATCGGGCTCTCTGCACAGCAGGGAGTCTGCTTCTCCCTCTGACCCTCCCCCCTCTCATGGGCTCTCTCTCTCTCTCTCAAATGAATAAAATCTTAAAAAAAAATCCATCTATTTCTAAATCCTTTCTGCTTCCCTCCTCACTCGAATCTACAGCCATTCCTTAAAAAAAAAAAAAAAAAATGTTATTCCTGTCCATTACCCCACCAGAGAATGCAGTCAGTCCCTGCAGAATAACCAGCAGCCTCCCTAAAAGCCAGGCACTTAGAATCACAGGAATTTAGATCTATGAGGCCACTTCCTCAGAAGCCTGCGCTTTCTCTCTTGTTGTTCACAGGATTCAACTGTATTTGAGTACAGTTGAATACAGGCCAGTCCAGGGCCGGGATGAACTGTATTTGGGGTAAGCAAACTCTCTGGTACGGAGCGGCCCGGAGTGGATACATGAGGTGGTTTCGGCCAATGAGACAGAAGGAAGTCTGCTAGGGCACTTCCAGGAAAGATTTTACTTCTTGATAAAAGCAGAGAGACCCATGAGGAGGGCTCTTCCCCCTTTGCTTTTGATGCTCCTATGGGAGGCTGTGATGCCTAAAGCTGTAGCAACCGTCTTGTGACCATGAGGGGCTAGCCTGGAGACAAAGCAATGGCAAAGCAAAAGGAAGGAAAGAGCCCGGGTCTTTGACGACCTTTCTGAACCACTGCACCAACCCTAGAACCATCATGGCTCCACATTCGGGTTCAAGAAATCATTAAATGTCTTGATTGCTTAAGCCACTGTTAACCAGCAGCCAAAAGCATACAAACTGGAAGGGACTTTTCTCTCTTCTAATCGAAACTCTCTTATTTTACAAATGAGGGAACAGAGATACAAAGTCTTTGAGTAACAAAAGCAATAAACGAACCAGAGACCAAAGCTAGGTCAGGACTCTCAACCTGTGTTCCTTGTACCACATTATGCTGAGGCTTATTTTACTTGACTGTTTTTTTTGTTTTTTTTTAAGCAACATTAGACACCGTACATGGAGGGATCACAGGGGGTGGCTTCCCACCAGAGTTCAGAACAACAACCGGAATCCACCTACATCTGAACTCAGAACTGCTGGATCCTGCATGTGTGAAAAGCTACTTTTATGCTCAACTGACTTAGATAAAGCAGATGATTCCATCGGGGAGCAGCTGGTCACCACTTTGTGAAACCCCCCCAAACACAGCTTTTTTCCCCGTTGGTTCATTATTTCATTCAGAGCTCTTCCTTCGGACCAGGCACTCTGTTAATCACTGGAAACATAATCACAGCCCTTCTGGGTTGTAAAGCTAATGAAAGAGAAAGTAAACAAGTAAACAAACAAACGTGTCATTACAAATCAGAGTGAGTTCGGCCACACCAAAATGCATAGGATGCCGGTAAGAGAAAAACAGGAAGACTTTGGACAGAGGATGTTGGAAAAGGCCTCTTAAGCAAAGCTAGGTTCAGAAGGAGTAAAAAATTACAAGAGTGACGGCGCCTGGGTGGCTCAGTCCTTAAGCGTCTGCCTTCGGCTCAGGTCATGATCCCAGCGTCCTGGGATGGAGCCCCGCGACGGGCTCCCTGCTCTGCAGGAGGCCTGCTTCTCCCTCTCCCCCACTGCCCCTGCTTGTGTTCCCTCTCTCGCTGTGTCTCCGTCAAATAAATAAAATCTTTAAAAAAAAAAAAATTAGAAGAGTGGAGAGGAGAGCATTCTAGTCAGAACAGCATGGTAAGGCTTTCAGACAGGAAAGGATTTTACTTTCCTAAAGAAGCAAAAGGAACTGAGTGACCTAAGACGAGGCAGGGCCAGCTCATAGGCCATGGGAAGGAATCTAAATTTTGATATTCCAAGTGCAGTGGGAAACTGTTGAAGGCTTATTTTAAGCAAGGGAATGGTGCTGATTTATGTTCTGTAAAGCTCACAGTGTGGAGACTGAATTTTAGGGAAGAAGAAAAGCAGGTCAATTAGGAAACTCTTTTGGTGGTGCATTCAAGAGAAACTGTTGACGTGGACCAGGGTGACAGCAAAGATGGTGCCGACCGATCTGCCCTTTGGAGGGAGAACCAACAGGTCTTGAAAACAGGTTGGATGTAGGAAGATGAAAAATCGCGGATGAGTCCTAGGATTTTTCCCCTCCCGTGCACTAATGTTTTTTAATTCGTTATACGGAAACAGTATCAAGGGGATTAAGAGCAAGAGAATGGTGGATGTTAGTATCCGGATGAAAACGATCCCGAGAGAGAAAGAGACGACTACCAAAAAGGCCAGACTGTTAAAGCGGCTGAGAATCTGCAGAGGCTGGAGGATGTGGGTCCAGGGCTCGTGTGCAGGGACACGCCGCCGTGGCAGAAGGAAGGAGGGGGGCAAGGCCAGGGCAGGAGGGGGAGGGCCCGGTGGCTAGAAGACCTTCGAGAGCCGTGGTCACCCCAGCCACGGAAGAAAAGCCGTCCCCCGAGAGAGCGGGAAGGCCGAGGTGTCTCAGCGAGGGCAAGAGGGAGCTTGCTAGAACTATGGGGTGGGATGCCTGCCTCTGTGGTTTTGACGGCGCGGCAGCCTCTGTTGAGGATGAGGTGCAGGCTGACCCGTGCAAGTGCGAGGCCGAGGAGCAGTGAGAAAGACGGACAGGAGCTCAGAGCAGGGTGCGGACGCTCGGGCTGGGCGCCAGGGGCGGCGGGTGCGCACAAGGGCGCTAGGGGGCAGGGGGCGGGGGCTGCGTGCCCGGGAGCATCAAAGGTGCGGGTCTTCTGCGGGAGGGACCGGGACGCTACTCTGGAAAGGAGCGGAGAGAACCAAGAGGAAGCGCTCGAGCCCGAGTCCCCACCCGAGGTCCCGGGTGCAGGCAGACATAAGGGAAACCGTGTCCTTGGGGGTCAAGGCCAGGTGGCCGAGGGGGCGTCCGGAGAAGAGTCCGAGAAGACCCAGGGATCCGGTGGTGGCCGGGGGAGCACAGAGCTTGGGAAGGCGAGGCGGGGCTTTGGGTCCAGCCAGCCAGGGAATGTACAGAGCACGGCGGGGATGAAAATCTGCTGAATTCTTCCGAGGCCCTAAAATACTCGGCTGAAGAGGAGACTAAATCCGCGTCTCCATTTTCATCTTTAATGTGCCAAGAGTACTTGAAACTTTAAAGGAGAAAAAAAAAAAAAAGTTCATCATTCCTTCATTCATCTAAAACAAGGCTTCCTCCCTCATCTCCTAACTGGTAGATCGTTTCCCACGCTGG